GATCTGTGCCTTGCCACATTTCTGTCTCTGAGCTCTTCAGGCAGTTCCTTTGACCTCATGATTCTCATTTGCTCTGCCATGCACTGTGAGCTGTAAGGTCTTATATAGACAGGTGTGTGGCTTTCCTAATCAAGTCCAATCAGTATAATCAAACACAGCTGGACTCAAATGAAGGTGTAGAACCATCTCAAGGATGATCAGAAGAAACGGACAGCACCTGAGTTAAATATATGAGTGTCACAGCAAAGGGTCTGAATACTTAGGACCATGTGATATTTCAGTTTCTTTAATAAACCTGCAAAAATGTCAACAATTCTGTGTTTTTCTGTCAATATGGGGTGCTGTGTGTACATTGAGAAAAAAAAAATTAACTTAAATGATTTTAGCAAATGGCTGCAATATAACAGTGAAAAATTTAAGGGGGTCTGAATACTTTCCGTACCCACTGTATATATATATATATATACACACACACACACACACACACACACACAAAATGAGAACAGGTCTCTATATTAGCCAGCCAGACCAGTGTAAGGACCACCCACTGGTCCAACGACAGAATCCAGTGGCGTGGGGTGAAAGATTCTGCATGTGTCTTGTCTGCCGTTTCTGTTATATATATAAAAAAAAATAAAATAAAATAAAAAATAAAAAATCCAATTTATAATCTGACTCCATTTGTAATTTAATTCTAAATCCAATTTCAATGAATACTTCATTTATGGTGGATCATTAGATTAGTTGTGTATTAAAAATTTGGATATTTGATCTTTCTGGGCAACCCTTACTTTCAATAACTAATTCGCCAGGGACACAATGCCACAGAGGGGCAATGAATATGGTAACATTTAACATGAAAGTAAAAAAAAAAAAATAAAAAAAAAATAATAATAATAGTCAGATACAGGTTCACAAATAAACCGCTTTATAAAATGATAAATTCTACATTTCAATCTTTAAACCATATTTTAATAAGAGGGATGTCAAAAGTATCAATTATAAATCAGTCATTAGGACTAGATTTATAAAAAAAAATAAAAATAAATAAAAGTCACTAAATACTGAATGTTTTACAAAACTATTAAACCAAGATTTACATGTACTAAAATCTCCCGCATAAGTGTTATGCCAGGTTAAGACATGATTTTAGCCCAATTTTGCAACAATTTGCTTGACGCAAGGCGTCGTGGGGATTTGTAAATGACAATGGGTGTCAGGACGCAAGTTACCATCATTTCTTTATACTTCAGTTCAAGGATTTCCCACTACATTTGCTGCCAAGCTCCTGGAGACAGCAAAAAAAAAAAAACAAACAACCACACAAGTCTTGCTAAACTGAGATTTATTTGGTGAACATAGGAGACCTCAAATAAAGTTCCCAATGGTTAAACTGGCATGGTTAGCTGCACGCACAGGTGGTTGAGCAACACTTCGGTCTGGCAGGACATTGATCATCATGGGAAGAGTTATCAGCACACATTTGGTCTGAGACATTGATCAGGCCTCACTGCATGGACACAGATAGTCAGAATTAGTCGGTCCATTTAGCAGCAAACAGCACAACATAGCATGAACCACAAGTTTTACTTCTACAGCAAGTTGTATTCCAAGTTATTCATATTTATTTTGAAAAGCAATACACTTGAAATGGTGCTATGGGCCAAATTCAGGTACTTCATATATATATATTAAAAAAAAAAAAAAAAAAAAAAAAAAAAAAAAAACCACACACACACGTGTGCGTGTTGGGGAACAAAGCATGTATAACATACCTGCAAATGGAGGTGTACAGTCAAGTCCACATTTAGTGCGGCAGCATTTCTCATCTTTTGGACAGTCACCATCATGGGAACACCTATCAGCACACGCTCCTGAAAATACTCTTGCTTCATGATTGTTTTTTGGGCACATTCCTGGCTTTTCTGTTATACAAACATGATAGAGAAAGCAGATCACTGAATGCCTCACTGCATTTAAAAAAATAAAAATAAAAAAAAAGAAACACTGAAAGCAAGCAGACCCACACACTAATATAACAAATACCTCTATATGGAGCCATACACTGATGTCCACATCCATTGCTGCAGCACTTCTGGTTGTTTGGACAGTCACGGTCATGGGAGCACATCTCAGCACACACTCCTATTCGGAGGCTTCTGCTTGGACACACTCCTGGCTTTTCTGGTTCTGCTGTTATACAAAACGTATGAAAGAAAAATTACCTAATTTGTATAAAAAAAAAAATAAAAAAAAACACGTGCGCGTGCGTTTTGGGGAACAAAGCATCAATATAATAAATACCTATAAATGGAGGTGTACATTCACGTCCACATTTAGTGCTGCAGCATTTTTCATCTTTCGGACAGTCAATGTCACTGACACACAACGTTTTACACAAACCTACTCCAATGAATCTCCTTGGACACACTCCTGGCTTTTCTGTTATACAAACAAATGATTGAAACCTCACTGAATGCCTCCGAATAAAAAATAAAAATAAAAAAACCCCAAGCTGACCCACACCAATATAATATAAATACCTTTATATGGAGCCATACACTGATGTCCACATCCATTGCTACAGCACTTCTGGTTGTTTGGACAGTCACGGTCATGGGAACACATCTCAGCACACACTCCTGACACTGCTACTTCAAGATTCTTTCTAGGACACACTCCTGGCTTTGCTGACATACAAAACAACAGAAATGACGTAAATAAGTAAATACACATACACATACCAACTTTGTCAATCTCCTTCAAAATTTCAAGTTTAAATTGTGTTGCTTGTGGTTTCTTTGCCATTACATGAAACTAGTAATTTGAGAATTTAGGGCTTTCTCAGCATTTCTTTGGAAAGCCTCTAACGCTCACTATTAATTGAAACTCACTGAAAGCAGGGAGTAAACATACAGCCCCACAATCATATCTAAAGCATGCATGTCTTCTAGAGCAATCTTTATTAGAAACATCCTTGACAAGACAGCACAACCATTAGCTTCGTCCAGACTCGAGAAAAAGTAAGCTGGCCACTAATGAAGAGAATTCAACAGGATCATTAGGGGAGACCACAGAGAGCTGAAATCACTTTTCAGCACTTGCAAGTCAGTGCTTGTGTGACACGTGTATCAAACTCAAGTGTAACAGACACACATTTGTCTGTATCAAACCAAAGTAGGTTTAAACATCCACCATTTATCCCTAAACTGTTTCAAAGGCATGGAGGGATACTACAACAGAACCTACCCCACTACTGGCGAGTGTAATGCATAGTAACACCAACAAAACACAACAGTCCATTTTAATACAATATAAAATGAATAAATACTTATAATATACCATGACCACCACGGTTACACTTCAAGCATTTTAATACTTCATTAAATGCTTGCAAGTCATGATTAGCCCCGATGCTAAATTGCATGTAAAGAACAAAACATTTGGAAATAAAAGGAGTTCAGGAGTGATAGCATACATACCTGGTAACAACCCTGCAGCCAAATGAATAGATCCATTTACTGTATAAACAAAGTACTTAAATAGTTGTAGCTATAACATTAACGTCAATCTTGGTCAGTGTTTTCCTTGTACTGGAAGAAATAAACAACTTATTTAAACTACACAAACACAGTTTAACTTTCACTGGACGTCTGATTGGCCAATTTATACGTTCTGATATGTGCCTAAAGTACTTTTTTATACAAGTTCTTATTTACATATTTCTTCGCGCTGTGTAATGAAGTTAAAAGATCTCACCTGTGGCTGCTCCTTCAGCATCTGTTGTGCTCAAACAAACAGAGAGACACAATAAGGCAGCAATCAACGAGCAGCACACCCGAGCTGTCATCCTCTCGACCTGCGACCTCACAATACACTCTGCTGAAAAATGCGCTGATTTAATCGATCAGGAGGCTTTCAAAACGCGTTTTGAAATGCGTTTTTAAGGATCCAAGGAGGCCTGGCGCAACTCCAACTCTGATTAAACTCACCTGCCTGTAGCTGCCTAATCTTGAAGACCCTGATTAGGTTGTTCAGGTGTGTATGATTAGGGATGGAGACGATTGAGACACGACAAAACAGTCACGTGTCGCCGTCTCCTGGAGTAGCCGAATTATGTAACCTGCACAAATTGACACTGAATATAATAATAATAATATTAATGAAGTTTGCAGTTTGCAGTCATTTCTCAATATACGGCCAACGTTTGTGAATTTGAATTTAATACATTTAAAATTCAAGTACCTAAATAGATGATTAAATAACATTTTGCATATAACCATGTGAGTAGGCTAGGCCAGTGTTTCTCAACCTTTCTTTAGTCGCGGCACCCTTTGGAAATTTTAACAAATTTGTGGCACCCTACAAAATTAATTTTGTCACAATACTTGAATTTCTAACTTCGATATGATACTTTGAAAAGTATAGATATTCGGTGCAGCAGGGAAGAACTGCAGAATATACTGCCATACAGATATTTGTAATATTATTACATTTTTTTTCATCAATGGTGACAATCAGTAGGCTAATTTCTAATGAAGAGACCAATTTATATGACAGATTCTAATGTAGGCTTTTATTCATATGTAAACATTGTTTAATTACCATAGATATCTCTCAAATTTTTGCTCACTCTGTGTATTTTTTATTTTACAGTGGGGTAATTTTGTTGCAGTAGCACGATATTTGATTTCAGACTTTGAATTGAATAAAAAATGACAAGCAGTCAGTAATAAAACAAGAACAAATAAAGAAATTACCAGAGGTGGGACCAAGTCATTGTTTTACAAGTCACAAGTAAGTCTCGAGTCTTTGCATTCAAGTCTCGAGTCAAGTCCCGAGTCAAGACAGGCAAGTCCAAGTCTAGTTGCAAGTCCTCAACTTAGCTTCAAGTCTTAAACAAGTCATTAGTGCTCTTTGCCCAAATTAGTGTCTCAGTATTAATTACCATATCAATTTCATAGTAATTTATATCAGGAAGGCAGGTAGAATATGTTTAACATAGTTCAATTTCATATGAGATGGGTGCCCTCAGTAAAACTACTCAAGTTCAATTTAGGGATTGTGCCAAAATAGGACAAGCAGTGAAAAAAGCTATTATTTGGAACCTCAATGAAACAGATTTAAAAATATGTGAGTGGAAACGCAGAAAGAACTGCTTTGAAAGAACTAGAAGAAATAACTGCAAGCATACTTTGCGAGTGAGATGAAAATGCAATATGGATGCAGACAAACTCATGAAGACAGTCATTCAAAAATGCTGTGCTACCATCCTATATAACTAAGAGTAACAAAGACAAAATCATTTAATAGAAAAAAAATGTTGTATGTTAAATGTTAAGTTTATATTATGCATAGTTGATCGCTAAATTTAGGGGCTATGTGCGCTATCGGCCTACAGACTGATTTACAACACGTGAATTTATTCATTTGTCCCGAAAGAATTGGAAGTGACATGAGTGCCTGCAAGAGGGAGTAACTTCGATATGATACTTTGAAAAGTATAGATATTCGGTGCAGCAGGGAAGAACTGCAGAATATACTGCCATACAGATATTTGTAATATTATTACATTTTTTTTCATCAATGGTGACAATCAGTAGGCTAATTTCTAATGAAGAGACCAATTTATATGACAGATTCTAATGTAGGCTTTTATTCATATGTAAACATTGTTTAATTACCATAGATATCTCTCAAATTTTTGCTCACTCCGTGTATTTTTTATTTTACAGTGGGGTAATTTTGTTGCAGTAGCACGATATTTGATTTCAGACTTTGAATTGAATAAAAAATGACAAGCAGTCAGTAATAAAACAAGAACAAATAAAGAAATTACCAGAGGTGGGACCAAGTCATTGTTTTACAAGTCACAAGTAAGTCTCGAGTCTTTGCATTCAAGTCTCGAGTCAAGTCCCGAGTCAAGACAGGCAAGTCCAAGTCTAGTTGCAAGTCCTCAACTTAGCTTCAAGTCTTAAACAAGTCATTAGTGCTCTTTGCCCAAATTAGTGTCTCAGTATTAATTACCATATCAATTTCATAGTAATTTATATCAGGAAGGCAGGTAGAATATGTTTAACATAGTTCAATTTCATATGAGATGGGTGCCCTCAGTAAAACTACTCAAGTTCAATTTAGGGATTGTGCCAAAATAGGACAAGCAGTGAAAAAAGCTATTATTTGGAACCTCAATGAAACAGATTTAAAAATATGTGAGTGGAAACGCAGAAAGAACTGCTTTGAAAGAACTAGAAGAAATAACTGCAAGCATACTTTGCGAGTGAGATGAAAATGCAATATGGATGCAGACAAACTCATGAAGACAGTCATTCAAAAATGCTGTGCTACCATCCTATATAACTAAGAGTAACAAAGACAAAATCATTTAATAGAAAAAAAATGTTGTATGTTAAATGTTAAGTTTATATTATGCATAGTTGATCGCTAAATTTAGGGGCTATGTGCGCTATCGGCCTACAGACTGATTTACAACACGTGAATTTATTCATTTGTCCCGAAAGAATTGGAAGTGACATGAGTGCCTGCAAGAGGGAGAAAAATTGAGTAGCCTATACTTTATAGTTATATATACAATACTCATTTTGCGAAAGAAACACTTATTCAAATTATATTTTAAATGATCATTAGGCCTATTGCCACTTGCCCACTTCAGACATTAGGCCTAATGTGCATTTTTCTACTTCAAATTATAGCTGAATGGTTTGCAATGATTCATTTTAAATCTAGATTAAATCAAGGTTTATCTAATAATTCTGTTGCACCAAACTTCAAACCTTTAAAAATAAGCAGGTTTACATTTGGGACCAAGTCATTGTTTTACAAGTCACAAGTAAGTCTCGAGTCTTTGCATTCAAGTCTCGAGTCAAGTCCCGAGTCAAGACAGGCAAGTCCAAGTCTAGTTGCAAGTCCTCAACTTAGCTTCAAGTCTTAAACAAGTCATTAGTGCTCTTTGCCCAAATTAGTGTCTCAGTATTAATTACCATATCAATTTCATAGTAATTTATATCAGGAAGGCAGGTAGAATATGTTTAACATAGTTCAATTTCATATGAGATGGGTGCCCTCAGTAAAACTACTCAAGTTCAATTTAGGGATTGTGCCAAAATAGGACAAGCAGTGAAAAAAGCTATTATTTGGAACCTCAATGAAACAGATTTAAAAATATGTGAGTGGAAACGCAGAAAGAACTGCTTTGAAAGAACTAGAAGAAATAACTGCAAGCATACTTTGCGAGTGAGATGAAAATGCAATATGGATGCAGACAAACTCATGAAGACAGTCATTCAAAAATGCTGTGCTACCATCCTATATAACTAAGAGTAACAAAGACAAAATCATTTAATAGAAAAAAAATGTTGTATGTTAAATGTTAAGTTTATATTATGCATAGTTGATCGCTAAATTTAGGGGCTATGTGCGCTATCGGCCTACAGACTGATTTACAACACGTGAATTTATTCATTTGTCCCGAAAGAATTGGAAGTGACATGAGTGCCTGCAAGAGGGAGAAAAATTGAGTAGCCTATACTTTATAGTTATATATACAATACTCATTTTGCGAAAGAAACACTTATTCAAATTATATTTTAAATGATCATTAGGCCTATTGCCACTTGCCCACTTCAGACATTAGGGCTAATGTGCCTTTTTATTCTTCAAATTATAGCTAAATTGCAATTATTACTTTTAAATCTAGATTAAATCGAGGCGTATTTAATAATTCTGTTGCACCCAACTTTAAACCTTTAAAAATAAGCAGGTTTACATTTGAACCCATCATTTTGATCCTGAATTTATTATATTTAAGATTACTTTAATCCTGTTGCACCATAACTTTAAAGTCAGATTTAAATCTCGATTATGGATCAATTTTAAATTTAATGGAGGTTTAAATAAAATAAGATGCACATGCAAATAAAATATGTAACTGATCGAACAAAAACAGTGGAGATCTGACAAAAACAGGTATCAGAGAGGTGTGTATTACAAATAAAAATAAACATTAAAGCAAATCGAGTTGGCAGAGTGCGAGGGTCGTGGCGGGATGCAGATACGTCACTCATGGTGCACATTGGTGTCGGATACAAACAGAAGAAGTGAGGAATATTTAACAGCAGCGGTCACGGTGATGCTGAGGCGAGTGTAGTGGTTACAGATTGTACGAGCGTATGGGACACTCAAGGGTTCGGTTAGGTACAAGTAGAAATGGTGAGGGGAGTTTCCGGTTAGAGAAACGTGAGAAAGAGAGCAGGTCCCAATTGAAGGATTTTATTTTCTGTTGCACCCAACTTTAAACCTTTAAAAATAAGCAGGTTTACATTTGAACCCATCATTTTGATCCTGAATTTATTATATTTAAGATTACTTTAATCCTGTTGCACCATAACTTTAAAGTCAGATTTAAATCTCGATTATGGATCAATTTTAAATTTAATGGAGGTTTAAATAAAATAAGATGCACATGCAAATAAAATATGTAACTGATCGAACAAAAACAGTGGAGATCTGACAAAAACAGGTATCAGAGAGGTGTGTATTACAAATAAAAATAAACATTAAAGCAAATCGAGTTGGCAGAGTGCGAGGGTCGTGGCGGGATGCAGATACGTCACTCATGGTGCACATTGGTGTCGGATACAAACAGAAGAAGTGAGGAATATTTAACAGCAGCGGTCACGGTGATGCTGAGGCGAGTGTAGTGGTTACAGATTGTACGAGCGTATGGGACACTCAAGGGTTCGGTTAGGTACAAGTAGAAATGGTGAGGGGAGTTTCCGGTTAGAGAAACGTGAGAAAGAGAGCAGGTCCCAATTGAAGGATTTTATTTGAATTATCCTTGCATGTTTGAATTGTTACAGGCATTTGCCCATAAGGGATGCATGTGGGCGTGTGTGGTCTACAATGAACAGAGAAAACAGAATACAATATAACATTTGTGATATAAACAATAATATGGCTAACATAAAGAAATAAACATTACACACAGCAGCAGTGACAGTAAATAACAGTATCAAATATCAGGTAATAAAGGCATTCAAGTTAGTATGGTTGGAACTTGGTAGTCTGAACTCTTGCTTGTCCTTGAGTATGTGAGGTACTGTTAGTTGAGTAAAGGATTGAAGTGGATCTGTCTTTAGGCCGAGAAGGTGGGTGTGAATCCTTCTTGGTTGTCCTGGATGCCTGACTTTGGTAGAGTGCTGCTGCCCTGTTTGAAATGCGCTTAGCCTGAGACTTCAGCTGTAGCCAGGCAGAGAAATCTGGCAGGGTGTAGGTACTGTCTGTGCCAGTCCGGAGAATGCCATGGCTAAAACAGTACTCAACGAAGCTGTCACGATATGACGGTGGCATTTTGCTCAGAAGGCGATCAACATGCGATCCACACCTTAACTCATAGCCATTTGGGCCTTCTAAAGTCCTGATCATCCCTACCAATGAATGGATGGATAAGGCAAAGTCATCAAAAGCTTCAGCTTCTCCAAACTTTACAGCTGGAGCATTCAATATGGCAACTAACTCACATTGTACTAGTTGGCGTGGTTGTCCATATTTATCTTGCAGTGCTTGTAGTGCAGCTGTGTACGGCCGGGGATCGTGCATGTATGCCTTGGCAAGCTGGATAGCACTGGGAAGCTTTAAGTGCCCTAGAAGCACTTGATATTTGTACTGTTCACTTAAGTGCTGTTGATTGTTCATCAGATTGTCCAATGCCATTTTGAGCAGGGCAAAGTCGCTTTCACGTCCACTTTCAAAGGATGGTATGACAGGTTTTGGGATACCATAAGCAGAAGCAGCTAACATCTCTAGTCCGGGTGGCTGGGCTTGAGGTACATAGATTGCTGCATGAGCTGGAACTGGATGAGGGGCCGGGAATGCCACTTGATTGTGAGGGTACAGTACTTGGCGTGGCTGAGGAAGTACAGAAGCCCCTAAGTTTGCAGGGTCTAGAGGTGAAGCTACTGAAGGAGGCACACTGACAGCAGCTGTCTGATGGTAGGTTACCATAGTGACAGGAGAAGATGGCTGCACTGAGACGGTAGCTGGGTAAATGGGTGATGGACCAGTGAAAACTGTTCTAGAATCTGAAGTCGACTGAGCTGTTGCACGTGGAGGTGATGACCATGCCACTACATTAGGGTGATGCAACTTGGGAGTAAAGTCTTGGGCACTGAATGTAGACTGCACCACCTGTGGGGCTGGGGGAAGCGATACTGATGCTTCGGAGGTAAGAAACACAGGTGGTGGCAAGGAAGATCTGTGCATTTCCTGGGCATACGATGTAAAAATATCACTAGTAACAGCTCTCTGTGGAGGTGGGCTTACTCCAGGTTGTGCTTCACATATATTACTAGTGATGCCAGACTGTGAACCAGATCTGCTGTTGTTGTCCTGTTTAAGGAACGAAGTGACTAGC